AAATTTTCATATCGCCGTGGTGTGTGGTTGCACGGTTATGCGTATGAGGAAATTCACGTTTTGCGCAACGATCAATTGTATCGAGAGCAACCTTGCATTTTTGCCACACAGACGAACGCAGTTGAGAGATATTCTCCTCGTGACGTTCTTCCCGTGCTCTCTCTCTCTCTCTCTCTCTCTCTTTCTCTCTCTCTCTCTCTCTCGCGGCACTGTGAGAAATGATGAACGATCTCTTCTGTCGTTCATCATTTCATCCTGCGTTAACGCCGCATGCGCACACCGTCAATTTTAGTCACTTACGTCGAATTACTGGATTGGACAATTATTTAATAAGTCCGGCTAGTGAAAATTACAAGCGATGAACATTCGAGATATTTTTTATACAACGTACATATTTACACAAGACATTTTTTATAAAAATTCGGTGACCTAACAGGGAAGGCGACGGCCCGGAAAGCCGGAGATTCCAGGTTCGACTTCTGGCTAAGGAGTTTTTTTCGCAATATTTTAAATTGATTTAGGGGAGGGGGGTATTCGGGGTCTTTCATATACGAGATACAAATCTAGCATCTTATATGATTTAAAAGAATTATTATTATTATTGAAATTACAATTCAAAAAACTCACGTGAAAACGTGAATTAGTTTATATACACGGAAAAAAAAAGTTTTGCTATTATATGGTTAGCAAGAAAAATGATTGACTCTACGAAATTTTTTGTTTTATCAACAAAATGTTTTGTTGGCGAAACAAAAATTTTAATAAACTTAACAAATGTTTTTTTGCTGGCCATATTGTAACTAATTTCTTGCTATTCTAGCAAATCTTTTTTTTCCGTGTATGTGTACACACACACACACACACACACACACACACACACATATATATATATAGACATATTTTCCGCACAACATCCAGCGAATGGCTCTTTACGACCAATTATAAATTCATTTATTAGCTTAAAGACTTCAGAGCCCGAGATGATTCTCAGTTTATTATTAATTGTTTTACAAAAATTAATTTATATGATTCGAATTGATTAATATTTGAATAACGGCTCGATGAGACAATTATTATATTTTACAAAGAAAAAACCAAAGAGGTCCAGGTTGAAGACGTTTAAATACAACAACATGAAAGTGCAGTGTATTCCGGACGTTTTTCGATCACTCTCTTTATTGTTGATCATCTTCAGCACTGTTTAAAAGAAAATAATAATATGAAAATTATAAAATTGTAAAAATATAAAAATCCGTTACATAAAAAAAAAAACATACATTACAAATACATTCTGTTGTATTTAAACGTCCACTTTCAACCGCAGGCTCTTTGGTTTTTTCTTTGTATAATAATTCGAATTAAATTTCTCTTTAATTTTCGAAAATCCACATCGGTGAATCTAGTTTGTAAAAAAAATCATGAAGAAAAAACTCCTCGGCCAATTTCATTGTGTTTTCGTGTAAAAAGCTATAGAAAAAAAAATAAAATAAAATAATATCTCTATATCTTTCGCGAGATAGGCGTATCGTTTAATGTACCTCGCTACTTAATGACGGGAAGAAGGGAAAAAAGGAGCCGTAAGAAATGGGAGAAAAGTGACGATGAGAAAAAAAGAACTTTGTGTGACGTATACACGAAGGTTGGTTGATGAACAAGTGTTCGCACGAAACCCCGCACCGTGCAGGCGTATATATCTCGTGGTGCATGCAACGTTCTCTCACCGGAGAGAGAGTGAGACTATAGAAGAAAAATAATAAATAACAAGAAAGAGGAGAAAGAGAGAGAGAGAGAGAGAGAAAGAAAGAGAGAAAGAAATGAGTGCGAGAGGCTTACGGGAAATCAAAAAACGACGTGTACATATCTCGACGTTTAGCAACACTTCCGCGCGCTCGTCAGCTCTGTCCGTGAGATCTCGTAGTACGAACTTGAGACGCGTCTCGATGTTAATTATACACATGTTTTATATTGTTCTCCGTTCGAACGAGTTCATCTAACGAGCTCGTCTGGAATATTAATAATTAACGCGAGAAACTAATGAGGGGAAAAGATCAGTTCGGGGCGCAACCGTGATTGTTTTAAAATTCAAATTCGATCGGCGAGTCGTAACAGCGGGGTACGTACTCGCGAGGCAACGAGCTGCGTGAAATATAGCGAGAGATGTGGACACGTGCCAGAAACTATATATATATATATTTCTGACAGGCGAATTAGAGCGGAAATAGACGGAAAAAAATATCTAAATTTTCGAAATGCGGGAACGCACGATGATACGTAGCGCACGATAAATTCCGTAGGAGCTCGATTTCCGTAATGGAAGAACAATGAAGAGTGCTCGAAGAGGGGGAGAGGAAATAATACGATAATACCGGCGACTGTTACGGCGAACGGAGCGGGGAATAGAGAGAGCGGTAATAAATGTCATCGGAGTTGCGCATAAAGTTGCCATTAACTCGTTATGCATATTACGAAATAAAACACATCGCAATAAAGACGTACGTAAACTAAGACTCCGGATGATCGTAACACCGTCATTTAATCACCGAAACAGAGGCTTGTGTTATGTCGAGCGATATAAGAAACAATGAAAAATCTTCCCACAGACGAGAATAAAATATATATATATAAAAAATATATATATATCACACGCGCGTTTCGATTCGTAAAGAAATCGCAATCTTGATTATTAAAAAAAAAAAAAAAAAACAGAGTCCTGTTGTATTATTTTTTTTATATGAACAATTCGGTCTCGGTGTCGCCTCATCGTACGTTTGGTGTGTAATACTAATAAATGTAAAGGATGATCCTCCCCCGTGTGTGCGTGTGTGTTTTAATGAAAATGTCAACTATAACAACTCCGTCACGACCGCGGACGAGATCTCTTTCTCTCTCTCTCTCTCTCTCTCTCTCTCTCCTCGGGAAAACGAAAGAAAAATACATCTCGTGAATTCATCCTGTCATGGCCAGACGCTATAAATAATTCGTGAGTAGCTATCGTAAATGTCGTGGAGTTTTTCCAAAGTGTAAATCACTCTTGTGTACTACTAGGGAGCTTCCCCCCCCCCTCCCTGTCTCCCTCCTTCGCCGTTGTAAAATCTTGCCCTTATCCCTACTTTATGTTACCGCCAGGTTGAGCATAAACGTCTGTCTCGCCGATGTATACGAGTATTTGCAAATTGAAAAGGGAATCGTTTTCGGGTTGCGTTCCTGTCATGCACACACGGAGCCGAAATTTTCTATTCGAATTGTTAAGCATCGAATTGCGCGCGCGTAAAGGAACTTACGCAGAAGGTGCTTCCAAAACAGTCGCGCCTGTGTATACGGTGTACGTAAGACAAAATTTTTTTTTTACGTAGATCACGAAACATCGCGTCAAAAACGCAACAGTGATGAGATAATAATAATTTCGAGACAAGATTAATTAGTGTGTAAAAGGGAAATATAGACGCTTTTTTGCTTGGACGTTTTTCGATATTCTTGTTACAATTTGACGAAAATTACGAAAAAGATTGATGTATACAAACGTGACTTTACCGTGTGCATGGATTATTCGCGTGACAATACAGGGGAGGTGGTTTGGGCCGTACATATTAAACGCCGTCACGTAAAAGCCGGCACTTAATTTCCCCGCAATTATAGCATATGCGGGTCACCGTGAAACGTGTCGACCGAAAAATCTTCAACGTCGAAAGATTTGGGGAGGGGGGGGGAGGAGGAGGGGAAACATATTTCAAAGTCAGTCCCGGTTAGATGGTGAGGATATAAAAATAGCAGTCGATCAGCGACGTCAACTTTACGGGATTGTGTCCACAGCAACCGGAGTTGCATGTCGAAAGCGTCGTCCGTGCTTTTCGGAGCTGCCGAGAAGCCACGAAGTACCGCGAAAAACTTAGTTTCGCAAGGACGATAAATCATCTTGAAATTCGCCGGGGCTGACAGGCATGTAGTTTTACGAGGGCCTGCACGCAAAATGCAAAGCAGAACCTGGTGGGCTTGCACCGCAATTAATTAGCGTTTCGTGATAGCCGTGCATGTGCCGAAGCGTTCTCTTTTTTTTTNCNTTTTTNNTNNTTTTTTTTTTTTTTTTTTCTTTCTTTCTAAGCCCAGCTAAAGCTGCTCGCGCGATAAGGTGACGCCATTCGCTGATCCGATTGGACATGTAACACCATTTTAAGGAACATATCGCCACCGCTCGGCACCGCATGATGCCGAGATTACTGTTACAGTTTTTTCCACGACTTTGTCACGTGCCGTTACATTCGCGGCGCGCGGCTAAAATTAATCCCGCGCTGATATCCGACTAATAATTTGCGTAATAAATATTACGACCGAACTAATCACACTCTCCGAAGTTCTCGTTTAATCTCTTTACCGTTCGTAGCGTTTTTCCCTTTTACACTCAAAATGTGCGAATTTCCGTGCGTGTTGGGGAATCTACAATTTCGAAGTTGAAAAAACTGTTTTGAACCGCCAAAATCTGCATGAAGTCATTTAAAGAAAAGTTCTCTCGACAAGTGAAACGCGTCTCGATATTTCGCAATTGCTTTTTTGAAAAAAAAAAGTTATATTGTTTATTGTCGCGTCTCCGCACAAATTATCTGAAAACACCAGGTCGATTTTAACAATCAAATTTTTTAAGGGAATAATAACAACTCTTACGGAAATTTGTAAAAGAATACGGTAATTTATTAAAATACGCGCGTACACATGAGACTCAAAGTCACTTGTCATAACTCGTTCAAACGATTTACAAAAAGTTTATTTAGTCTCTATATATACATACACACACACACACACACACATAAACACACATCACTTTCTTTTATTTGATTGCACAAATTTTGTGTTTACATTTTTTATCTGCTCGTATCTTGTACATACTAATAATTTTTATAATAGTTTTTTTTCCCCTAAAACATTCCATATCTTCCACAGTCATACAACCATAATTAGACACAGCCTATACGGATGTGTGTCAATAATGTATTCACATTGTGTTTCCCTTTTTTTTTTTTTTTTTTTTTTTTTTTTTTTTTTTTTTTTTTACAAATATAAGCACAAGGTGCAACAAGAAATTATCAACCGTTTAAAGATTAATGAATAAAATTTTTACAATTTTTGTTATTTACATTTTATAATTGATTTTGTGCAAATTAATGTTCTTGTGAAGAAGATTAATTGCCGTAGGCCCAATTTTTTTTTTATAATAGTAATATTGCAACACTTCAGCTTCATCATCATTTAAATCAGTAAATTAATATCTTGCAATAAAATTTACAAAGAGCAAAAGAACACTAAAATAGAAAAAATGTATTTAAATACATTTTGTTAAGTGTGTTCTTTTTTTTTTGCAAATATCAATATTAGGTGCAGTAGTGTCCTTACCTCTTTATTTCACACATACCAGCAAACACAAAGCAATTCTTATTTCAACGCGGTTTTTTTCGTGGCACGTAGGAAAGATATTCCGTCGATCACGATTTCGGTATAAAACCGGTTGTAGGTGGTGGACCAATAGGTTTGTTGAACCCAGTAGGCACTGTGGGATCTGTCCACGCATGTGACGATGTACTCGCGCTATTTCTAACGGGTGACAAAGTGCCTAACAAATTCGAAGATGGCGAAGGAGATATTCTCTCAATTGACATTGTCTGCTGAGGAAGTTGCGCATCAGTTTGAATGCCTCTAGATCCGTATATTTCTTTCAATATCAACAGCATAGTATCTTCGGATTCCCTAAAATGAGTCATCACACACAATGAGAATTAATTCAGGAACGCAGCGTATATTATCCGCGTAATGAACATTTACCAGTAGCAAATATGGCTCGTGAGAGCGAAGATGTATTCGTTGATATATTCGAAAGGTGCTTCTTGAAGAACGTAATCTATCCTTCGTCCACCGTTAAGTCTTCCTATCTTTAAGTCAGCACCGGCGGCATCTTCGTTATGATGATCCGGTACGTTCGGTGTTTTTTGTAACTGTTCTTCAACAACTTTATCGATTTCCCGTTCCAATGCTTGATTGTCTGGCTTGTGAAATAAAGCCAGTTGATAGAAAGAATTCCACGTGTGTCTCACGGAATCGATCAGCTTTTGCTTCAAATCTGCTCCGACACGTGCCATCGTTTCCTTCAATTCTATTAAATATAAATTGATTATAAATATTCGCGCAGCAACAATATTTGAAAAAATTTTCTATTGTATTATGTGATGTATTTATAGAAGTATCAGCAAAATTTGTGTACTCACCCAAGTGCATTCTTTTTCTTCCTTTGTGATGTGGTATTAACATCGGTCGGAATTTATGAGCTTCGGGATTAATCAGGGATTCCACTCTATAAGCTACCGGATCGAACGGATGAAAGATATTAAAGAAAGCCGGGCAGGTCGGTAAAGTGAAGTCTTCGCCGAGAGTGTCGATGCCTCGTACTGTTACGAACATGCCAATCGGACTGCCAAGGGCAAAGAAGGCACGTGGATGAAAATTAAGTTGCGGGTAATGTATGTAAGGTTGGCCGGTTCCAGCCGCGCCCATCATGTAGCTGATTTTTTTACTAAGACGCCTTTTTAGAACAGGTGCAGGCATCGGTTGAATAGGTCCCGTATTGTCGTTTTCCTGCAGTAGTGTTATTTTTTTTTTGTTTAACTTTCTGCTGATTACGAATATCGTGAATTTTCGCTCAACATATTTTGAGCGAAAATTCACATAAATTGTTTTCGTTTTTTACTTACACTTGCTTTATCGCTGCCCTCATCTTGGTTGTCATCCTGGTCTTCTTCCACATCAGGTTTTTGGTGACATAATAAATCGAACATGATCAAACTGCCTAACGAATGACCGCCTAAGTATACTCCTCCATCAAAGTTAGGATTTCTTTCTTTAAACAACGCGTACAATCTGTTCATCTCACTACCGACAGTTTCCATAATAGTCTGACAATATATTGGACTAGTATAGAAAAGTATATCTAGCAAGGTGTCGTTGGTAAAATGCCGTAACTTCGGAATACTCTCCAACGTAATGGCTTGCAACTTCTTGTCGATTCCTGTGTCTTCGGAATGAAGCGTTGTGTGCCAGGAGATTGGCAAAACTTCGATTCTATTTACAATACCTTGCTCGCACGCGGTACGATAGTGAGATTGCACCAGTTGAAGTGATATACCGCGAAATTCATCAACTGCAACACAAGAGATTTACACGTGAAGTTTTTTTTTATCATCGTGTAATCCATATAAAAGAGATAAGATTGATTTTTTTAACTGACATTGTATTGTTTTGTTTTTTTTTTCTTTTTTTTACTACTTACCAACTTCTTCCACAGTACGGAACTTCAGATCACAAACACTACCTATACCATGAACAAGAAACAGAAGATGATCTACTTTTTCGGGCTCGCCCTCGTCTATATTGAATTCGTCAACTCCTCTTTTAACAACTCTCGGTCTAGTTGCAGCACCCTGTAAATATTCACTGTCCTCTGAGACCTGTAGAAATTAGGACCATTCAAACAGAACCATGCGTGCAACATTAAAATATATATCTTGATTGTAAAAAATTTACCGGATGAAACACCTCTCAAAACTATCAACGGAACAAACAATGTTATGTAACATATGTATATATATATATTAATATATTTGTTTATTATATTATTATATTGTTTAATATATTATATAACGCTATTTTAATATATTTTATTTACATATACAGGGTGTCCCAGAATTGGTGTAACATCTCTCGTAGATAGGTAGAAGAAATAAAACTAAGTCGATAAGTCCTATACCATTTTGCTAGATTCGCAATAGTTACCGAAATCTTAATTAACAAAGATCCGCGAATAAGCGTGCATCGGGCTGTCTTAAGCGCTTGAGACAACCCAGTGCGCTTCGCGCGCTTACGGTGTTACTCGTAGCAGCATATGGGAGGAACTAACATAACAGCATATACTATAATACATATACATATACTATAATATATGTACATATTAAAATGTAATTGTGCGAAGCGCGCCGGGCTGTCCTGCGCGCGTAAGACAGCCCGATGCACGCTTATTCGAGGATCTTTGTTAATTAAAATTTCGGTAACTATTGCGAATCTAGCAAAATGGTATAGAACTTATCAACTTAGTTTTACCTCTTCTACCTGTCTACGAGAGATGTTACACCAATTCTGGGACACCCTGTATATACTTATGTAAATAAAAAATATATAAAAATTTTTTATTTTTATATATTATATTTATAAATTATATATATATATATTTTATATATTAAACAAAAGTTATATCTTAATATATTAAACAAAAAGTTAAATTTGCATATTACAATGCTTTTTACTGCAAATTAAATATCGAGAATGGTGAAAAGAATTTTAGCGACATTAATGATAGCAGTATTGTAATAAGAAGCTTAACAATATAATTGTGTGTAAAGTGTAGCAACTTAATAAGACTGAACAATTACGCTGTATATAACAAAATAATAGTTTAGTGACATAATATTTTCATTTCCATGTTACACGCGATATAAGACATTACTTTACTCACTGCGCTATTTCCCCAAGAACCTGCCAATTCAGAAGAAGTCGGTTGGAGATAATGAGCCTGAACTGTCGCGCTATGGAAGGTGATATATTCTCCGTTATTCAGATCGATTCTCCGATTCCAATTGTTTGTGAGGCATGCCTGCTTGTACTCCTCCTCAAGTTTTGCAGCAGTGCTTTCGTTGTAAGGAAGATATCTCGATTCCGTTGATCCCTTGTAAAACCACGAACACCGTCTAACTTCAGTGGCTGGACCGGTCCAATAGACGGGCGCTCTTTGACGACGTAAAATATCAACGTCGTAACGACCTCCATCGGTGTCTACTGTAGTTTCAGGTGTAATGTCGCTGGAATTGTGAGCCTCTTCTAACTTCAAGCTGTCTTGCATGGAGAACGGAAGCCATAGCGTTTTATTCTCCACTTCTTTGCGGTAAAACCAATGATGATACAGCGGTCTGTATTGCATACGTTTGTCGGAAGATCCTGAAGCCTAGAACAGATTTAGATTTTTTTTTTTTTTTTAGAAAATCTAGTCTTTTTAAGTTTTAATACTTAATAATATTGTGCTACATATGTACTTAGCCCTCAACGAACGGACATGGATCGTTTTCGTCTGGAGCAAAATTACTTTCTGAAGAAAGTAATTTTCTTGTTGTCATATTTGCTAAAAATTATGAATTAAAACTTTTTTTTTCACTAAATTTAACAATGGTGTCTTAAAATAGACAGTTTAAAGAGTATATACACATTGTTTCAGATTTTTTTAGAAATATATTTAATATTTTTGAAAAGCCCAAGACGAAAACGACCCATGTCCGGCGAATTAAGGTGACGAAAAACACGCCGTCCGTTGAGGGTTAGGGAAAAGCAATTTAAATAACGTGAGAAATTGTGTTCTCTTACCCAGTTTTGAAAACTTGGTGGGACAGTGTCCGGTGTAGTGCGATTAGTTGGTGAATTAACTGACATTTGAACGGGGCTGAGTGTGGCTGATCCTGTTGGTTCAGGTACTGACGACGCCATTGTAACAGGCGACGAATATGCGGCGTTATCTTCTACGGGAACCGTGTAGGGTTGTTGCAATCCACCAGTTCCGTAAAATGAGGCAGCGCTTTGATACGACTGCTGTTGAGAAGAATGCTGATCGTACGTGTGCGAGAAATTCGCTTGTTTGGGAAGTGCATTCGTAAATTGTGCAGGATTATAAAACAGCGGCACTGATGATTGATCGGACGCGGTATATACCGGCTGGCTAGACGCGGTATATACTGGCTCGTTAGATGTGGTGGCTGGCTGGGAGCTATATACTGGCTGGCTGGGAGCTATATACGCCGGTTGGTGATTAGATGTAGTATTTAATATTTGCGGTTGAGAAGACTGATTGGCGTTCCAATACGGAACGTGACTCGTGGGATTGGTCGCAACAGAACTGAATCCAGACTTCTCTTCAACTAATTGTAGATTATATTTTGCATCAAGTGCTGGTTTGTTAAAAGAAATGTTTGCGGTATTCTCTTGAGAAGGAAAATTCGAAAACTGAACGTCTTTTTGTTTTGACGATTCGAAAAATAAATTTGCGGACTGCTCTGGTGGTTTCGCAGATGGATTGTAAAAAGCGCTTTGTTGCCGCGGTGGCTGGAGAGGAGGTGGTACGTAGTTTAAACTCGACTTTTGAACTGCGGGCTTGCTTGCATAAAAAGTCGAGCTTGGTATAGGTGTCGGTTGCAAGTCTTGATAATAATCTTGTTGAGACGGAGGCGCGTTCGACTTTGTCTCTTGGATATCCGTCACAATTGGATTGCTATCGGCCGTATTTACTTCCGGACAGATTACTGATTGCGCTGTTGATTCTTGCCCAAGTGACACGTCACTCCAGGTGTCGCTTCCTGCCTGCACATCCTTTCCTTGAACATCGTTTGTCTTCGCCTCATATAATTTATCGACAGATTTGTTGGATTGTAACGCGTTGCTCTGCGATTCCGAAGATTTTGTTTGTAATTGGGCAGTCACGTTGGGCGTAATTTCAACTTCCGAAGAGGTTGCCGCACCAACAAAAGACGTTTCCTCCTGTTTCGCAAGTAAATGTTCTAATTTTTCCGTAACCTTGGCTGCGGATAACGGTGTAAATGTCGCCTTGCTCTCCTCGTTCGATTTCAATGGGTTCAAGTCACTCGCAGATTCTACAGTTGTCACGAGATTGTTATCTCTCGTAAGTTCCGGCGGCGGCAAGTTTAGTTGATTAGAATTTTTTAATGTACCTACGTCTTTATCTAGATCAGACGGCGGTGCGTAAAACTGAGGAAACGAAATGTTTGCCGGAGTGTTTTGCGGCGTTGCGGGCTCCAATACCCGCGTGGGTATCGGTCTTGACGACGACGACGACAACGACGACGAAGCAAATTGCGACGGCGCGGATACGGAAGAAGTTTCGCAAAATGGATTTTGATTTGTAGATAAAGATGAGTTGTAGATCGCAGTTGTAGTCGCAATCGGACTCGATCGAAATGAATTGTGAAGGGAACTGTTCAACGACGCTTGTTCGGACGTTGAGACTTGCTCGGGCAAGGAATTGATTTGTTGTACGTTGTTGCCCTGCGACGATCCTTCTGTCATATAAGGATTCAAAATAACTCGCGGTGGCGCTGACACATTTTGATTAGGAAAGAACGTTTGAATCGGCGGATTTGTATATGACTTAGCGTTGTTGGACGTTAGATCGGGCGGAGGTGCGTACTTCAAGCGCCGTTGATTACCAAGTCGATAGGAAACAGGCGCATTAGAGACTTGAGGTGGAGCTGCGGGTTGCGGAGGATCAGCAGCTGGAGTAGGGCGAGGAGGACCGAAAGCGGCAAATCCCGACAAGTCTGCGCTTTGAGAATCCTGTTGATTAATCGCTAAGAATCCCGGTATTTCAGACTGAGAGTCGTGGTATCCTCGCGAAGGTATGTAGGGATTAGATTCGTGTGACGCTCCGCCGGTGTTCTCGAACGCCTGATTTGTTTGCAATCCCGAGGGATCGGATTTAGTCGATGACAGAGACAAGTTTGGTAGAGAAGAGAGGATCGATGTGAAATATCCCGGTTTTGTTGGTTGACTCGCCGCGTCTTTGCTCTCCTTTGGCAAGGGAGGCGCATTTGTTGAAAATTGCTCGAACGTAGACGGAGGCTGAGAATTGACCGGTTCCTGTCCTATGAAATTATCAAGTTCGGCATCTGTAAAAGAGAAGATAACGGAGCGCGTATTAACTTTTATATTTCCTGAATTTATATATATATATATTTATTTAATAAACACAGTTTTAATTATGTATTTAATATATTTTAGTTGCTTTAAGACAGTAATTCGAATAACAAATCGATAGAACATATACGGTAAATGTGGGGGTATTATGGCCATACGGAATGGCCACAGACTGTAATTTCACCAATAATTGTTTAATAGTGCATTTTTGTAACCATTCTTAAAGATAATCGGTATTTACAGTAGTTTATGTGCGTACACTATTTAAAATAACAATATTGTGAAAATTATATAATGTTTTTACTTTTGATTGCCCGCAAAGTTTTACGTATGTCCACTAAAAGCTGCTGTAATGTCAAATAAATTACAATTAAACTGCCGTAATCAATATTACATACACGATAAAGGCACATAAATTATAATGTAACCAATAATTTGTATTTTCATTTTCATTTATTTATTTATAAATACTATGTTATCTTTTTCTCACATTTCGAGAAAGATGGCCCATTTTTTTTTTAAAAAGTTACATATAATTATATATATATATTTTTTTATGACTAGTATAATCTACAATGTATTTAATCATCAAAATAAAAATGTTTTTTTGCTAATTGTTTTTATAGTTCACATAAAGTTGCGTTTCGTAATTAAAAAAATACTGCGCATGAAAACATTAACAAAACAATATGTAATAATCTTTTACGTACAATAAATATATTGTTAAAAATTAGTTAGGGGGGTCTATCATATATGTGATGGAAAAATAGCATCCTATATGAATTTAAGAATTGTATTTTCAATTCAAAAATTTCACGTGTAATTTACACGTGAATACATATATACATATGTGTATGCATATATATATACTATATATTTCTGCATAACATCCTGCAAAAGCGTCTCGTATGACTTCATTCTGTAATTTTCTTATTAGAATTTGGAGAGTCTGAAAGTTTCTTTAAATATATTGTATTTAACATATAATTACTAAATATATAATTAAATTACATAATTATAAGTTTTACTTATATCTTTTACAAAACAAACATATATGGCCTATCTTTCTCTTAAAAGTTGGGTAAGATGGCCAATGCATACATTTTAATACAATATTAAATTTCTGTTAAGTGTTTTCTCTTTAATGTCGATAGTTGTTATTACTTTAAGCTTCAGTGAAGTAAAAAAACAATATTAAAAAATAACAAAAATAAAGGTCTGTTTTTTGCATTTAAAGAAAACTGTGGCCATCTTACCCGGATTTACCTTATAAGTTTTGTTTCAAACTTTCGAGACAATTAAATTCTTTAGCTGACTATTCACGAACTATCAATATTTAACAGGATGTGACGAGCATAAAGAATCGACGACTAAGATAACCGACAAATATTACTCTTGTGTGTAGGCGAATAGACGAGTATTCTGACGAACTTTGAATTACCGACGAAGCGTGACATCACACTTCGCGGAGAATTATTAGCCTGCGCCGGATAATTTTTTGCATAAAACTCAAGTCGACTTAAAAAATCAAACATCAAAAAACATTAATGAATATCTTGTTTTTAAATTCTATTTCAATATCTTTGCGTTACCTCAAAAAATTTTTTAAATTGTTTTTCATGTTCCAGAAAGTTCTTCTTAATTTTATACAATGTACATTATTTTTTTTGACCTATAATATTTGACCCGAGGTAATGTTTTACGATTGTGAAACACATATAGTGTCTTAAGGGGATCCTAAAGTGGGTCTGTTTTATCGATAAAACTGAATTTTTCGCGCACATTAATCTTTTTTTCGGTGTATGAATTGACAAATCCTCTTCTATGATTAAAGTACATACAATAAGGGATCCGGAAGGTCCAAATTTATATTTTAAAAATGAAAAAAAATGCTTAAAGATTTTCAATTTTTTTCATTTTGTGAAAACTGAATTTTTCGCGCACACTAATCTTTTTTTTTGTTGGCTGTATGAATTGACAAATCGTTTTCTACGGTTAAAGTACATACAATAAGGAATCTGGGAGGTCCAAATTTATATTTAAAAAATGAAAAAAATGCTTAAAAATTTTCAATTTTTTTCATTTTGTGAAAACTGAATTTTTCGCGCACACTAATCTTTTTTTGGTGTATGAATTGACAAATCCTCTTCTATGATTAAAGTACATACAATAAGGAATCCGGGAGGTCCAAATTTATATTTAAAAAATGAAAAAAAAAAATGCTTAAAAATTTTCAATTTTTTTCATTTTGTTGTATAAATATTCGAACTCCCGGATCCCTTATTGTATATACACAGAAAACAAAATGGAGTTGCTTCAATTAAAGTTGACGTCACGGGCTGCCACAAAAATAAATAGTTCATTCAATTGCATATGCGATTAATTTAAATGTCTAGATTCTTAAAGCAACTGTTGTGTATAGTGCAATAATATTGATGTTGCATCAACAGGATTAATTTCAATTAAACTGATACTGTTGATTCAACATCATTTTTTTTCCCGTGTACTTATTGTAATATTGGTATCTTGCTATTAGATGTGCAAGATACAATTATTGTATATACTTTAATCGTAGTAAAGGATTTGTCGATCCATACAGCCAAGAAAAAGATTAATGTGCGCAAAAAATTCAATTTTAACGATAAAACAGACCCACTTTACCGTTTGTTCAGATATTGTGTATTAAATGTTACTCATAACGAGACACTTTGCGAAACAACGTTGACGCCTAGATTTACTTTTGTGTTATCGTTAGTGTAACTGAGGGAGATTGCTGTGTAAACTTGGTGACAAACGAACTTTATATAAGTACGGCGAACATTTTTACGTCAGGTCTTTCGTTCGAAATCCCCGACGGTCGTTATGGGATCGCGCGCAATTGCGTTCTCGCTTTCTGTGACGTGCTATCTGTTTTGCATTTCAGACAGACATGCGTCCGGTAGCGTGCTCGCGAGAGTTCTCTTCACGTCGATTGATGACACTTCTCAACCGGACGCTGCGACGATCAAAACGGAAACTGATGCGCGAGCCGCGGAATCGATCGATGAAGAAACGAGACTCGATGGAAATTTCGTTTTCTCTCAGACGAATCTTCACACGCGACCAGAGTTAAAAATCTCTTATGATTCTTCGCTTGCGAAAGATCGATCAGCGAGAAGTTGGACCGATCACGAAAATACGCGCGCGAGATGTTCGAGGTAATGTTTTTTTTAATATTGAAACAACACACAGAAGCCCTAGAAAAATTTAATCGGTTCTAATCGAATTTTCGTTTTTCTCTTCAGGTATTGCGTGGAACACCTGGAAAGTGGCGATCATTTTCAAGATGTCTCACTCTTGTCGTCATTCGTCGATCAAGGAGGTAAAGTTTTTGCTTCAGTCTCTGAAAATGTAAACGAACTTTTTTTTCAAGTTTATCATTGTTATTGACGGTGCTTACGTATTTATTGTTGACGCAAGTGAGTTTCACTCAAATGATCGCTTTGTAGAATTTCTGTATAAAACACGTTGTTTTTCAAATCACTTTTTTCAACTTACTTACATTCGTTTCCTGTAGATAGCTGTAATGACGCATAATTAATCGATGTTTATCGAGCGAGACTACAAATGTTACGTACGATAACCTTTTCTCAAACAACATGTTAAATAAATTATACTTACATGTGTTGTATGTCACACGTCATGTGAGAAATTGATTCAGAGAACGATATTATATTACTACGATATTATTATTGACACGTAGAAAAATCAAACAGCGTCTTATGACAGTGATTTACATAAACGATATATATTTTTGCACGTTAAATAACGTTACTGTTTTTTTTCACACTTTTACAGATAACTTTTCAATAGAAAATAGATCTGATCTAAGAAATTCGACAATACTAAGCATATCTAATGACGACGAAACTTTAATAAATTTAGACAACTGTAAGGTGAGTATTTATAAAAAAAAAAAATCATATTTTCATAACTATATTTTTATATATTTATCT